TTGTCAGTCAGCAAGTGGAGGTTAAAAACGGAGAGAATGCATATGTCAACCGGAACTGGCGGAGTAATCCGACTTAAATTCCACTTCAAACATGTTGCTCACTCGAGGTATATATATTTGTATATCCCACAGAATTTTTAACAATGTTTGACTTAAAGTTTTTGAAATCCCCATTAGCATGTCAACAGTAGCTAGTGCGTAACTCCATAGAAGTTGACAATTACTCATGAAGAGTGGGGTTGATTTTCTAAGGGTTTACAGAAATGGGTGTTGATAGGACTTTGAGATGCCACATCTGCAAACTTGTTTGAGAGAGCCTTCTTGCTGAGCTAACTCGCGAGAAGGCCAAGAAACATACTTTCACGAAAGCTCTGACCTCAGTGCTTCCAAACCCTATTTTCTCACAGGTGTTTCCTCAGGAGTTAGGTACGTTGTCGATTTCTGAAGGCTTTGGATATAGGAAATATCGTACATGGAATTTCTTTATGAAGTTCCAATGCAAAGAAACGTGTAGATTCCGCACGCATACCATCACTTTAATTACCTTATCTATCATATTCATTCCCTAGACCTCGAAATAGGCAAGGACCTACTTAATTAGGATGTGCCGAAGAAACCTATTTAAACACCTTCTTACCTGGCTTCAGTACTCGTCTCAGGTAAGCATAGCACACTGACATCAGCGTAGTGAGCTCCTGCAAGCAAGCGAATCAGCCTATAAAAAGCGAACCTAATTTCACTCCCCCTCGACAGGGACTTTGATGAGGATTTATGATACAATCGATTAAGTTATGTAAGAGTTTAAATGCTGTTAGCCTTCCCAGATAACCTGTGTGCGCCATTCAAGACGCATAATTTATGGGTACACTATGGGCGGCTGAAGTTGTGGATGGAAAATCCCACCAGTAGGAAGCACTTCCTATAATCGACCGAATCCGTAACAGTAACTACTTCTGCACCAGGAGTTGTCACTTATTTAGCGTCGACGTCAATTAAAGATCATACGACCATGGCATCGGCACACTCTAACCATTTTTCATACGTCTCTATAGCAGTGGTAAAGTTTGAGAACCCCAGGTCAGATTGCAAATAGGTTTTGTACCACATCTTTAAAGTCAGCCTTTTCGTACCTACACATCTACTTACGAATGGTAGAACTTCTTTCGTATTATTGACACTGAATATTTAGCCTTCTCAAATTTCGCTATTTAAAGGTCACGAAAAAATAATGTGCAAGGCTTGGGAACATAGGTCACAGGAGCTCACTTTAGAAGTGGTGATGAGGTGGACATCGTGAAGGCAGTTGTTTTCGCGCTTGAGAGAAGCAAATCTGTGAAGCCATCCGAATAAGTGAGAATCTTCTTTTCTGACCCACCCGGCATAAACTTTGAGTGCATGGTATTTAAATTAACTTAAAATGACAACTATGACTCGAAAGTTTATTATTTACTGTTGTGAATCCAAAGGTTTTCGGCCTAATGATCTTGGGGCAACTACAGTAGCAAATGCACTTTCAGATAATAACTCGGTTTTCTAAGTGAATCTCCAAAGTTGGACAGGCAATCCTTGGTTAAAAGGACAATGTAAATGTAATAATTAGCTTCACTAATTATTGGCGAAAATAAAAAGCAAATACAGGGAAATTTTCACTGGAAGAAGATGTTTACAATGCCAATATGAAAAATCTGAACACTGTACAGACCATTTTATAGATATTGCAAATGTGGCAAAAAATTGAGCTACAAGTGTGCGGCTTAAGTGAAATTATGGTGTGATTTCACCAGCTTCATAGTTTTCTCAGAGTATGGCCAATCTGCCCCAATTTCTTCCTGCATATTTATCGCACAATTGGTTCCCGGTTGGCTCATTCATTGCCAGGGATCCCTGTTGCTTATCTTTTCTGGTCGGCCATCTGATCTTGAGTATTTTTGGGCAAAGACAGCCATTGATGAAGATCTGTATTATGTTTGAAGCCTCTTTCGTGACACGCCAAGTCTCTGATCTATAAAGCAGCACTGACTTCGCACTGGAGTTGAAAATCCGTGTCTTATCTTCGTTTTCATGCTGAGTGCTGTTGACTTCCATACAGACTTGAGAGTAGTGAAGCTTGCCTTGCTTCTCCGATCGTCGCTTTGATATTCTCGCCAGTTCTGTACGCCTGTAGTTGAAACGATGCTTCTCAGGCAGGTTGTTGAGGGGGTTCGCTTCTTTCAGATCCCTCCCATTTATGCTGATTGTTGTCTGTTGTTGCTGATGTTGGCCAGGAATCTTCAACACCTCTGTTTTACCTACGTTCACATGAAGTCCTATCTTTGATGCTTCTTCTGCCGAATTGCTGCTTTTCACTTGCATATCTTCCAGTTTGTGGGAAATTAGACATATATCATCGGCGAAATCCAGATCCCCAAGTTTTTTACGTGCATCCATTTTATGCCTGTTTCCTCACTGCCCACTGTCTGCCGCATTATCTAGTCTATCACGATCAGGAAAAGCATTGGAGATAATAATATATTCTGATTTTTTGCACGTGAGGGACGCCAGTTTACAGACACCATCAATATGAGAAATTACATATACCATTAGTAAGCATACTTAATAATAATATAATAAAATATGTATTTATTCCTACCTATGTAGGACACGCCAGTTGTACAGGCATGCATAAGTGTTATTCAGGTTACATAAACTTGGTTTATGGTGAAACTACATGTTACTGTCTTTTTTGACTTTAGTTTGTGGGAACAATCTGCTAACCAGTCATTCAGTGGGGCACATCAAGCAGTGTAGAAATATTGTGTTCTCATTAACAAATACTCGGGAAAATATAAAGCTTGAAGTCATTTCCCTCATATAACTTTGGTGTGTAAGGCATAGAATCTAATTCTTGATTTTTATCCAAACGGGGTAATAATTAAAAATGAGTGATGTACTGGTATAGTTTTGTCAGCCTTTTCATAGTAATTAACGCCAGAAGGGAACTGTACTCAATGCAGACAAACGATGATAGTTTATTTTTTTATAAAAGGGTGTTTTCAGGAAATAAAAATCATTTTTGCAAACATGATCAGTTATGTTACAAATTACAATCGTGAAGTATTATAATCAATACTTTTTCATTGGTATAAAGGTATGTTTCACAACTGTAATCCAGGTTGTGTCGTGGGGGACGGTAATAGGTAATTCAGGAGGCAACTGAAAGATATGGGACCAATAATGTTTGCAGATCATTTGTCATTGTGAGTGGTCAAGTATCTACATTCTTTATTCTCATTCAAAAAGTCATATAGAAACTAAAATGGTGAGAGAAAAAAGAAGACAAAGGACATCAACACAAAAGAAAGCAAGTGGAGTCCTCAGGGAGTGATCAATAAATTTATGTAGGTATATATTCTGTGTAGTAACTATATTTATTTTTGTACATTAACTTACTAGTCCCACTATGTTAACCCTTATATTATGTGTGAACCAGTCTTAATGGCCTCTGTAGAAATGTTAACCGTTTCCTTCCAATAATATTAACATTTATAATTTTAGTTTGTTGTAACTTATACGTTCAATGAACTTATACTATCTATGTTGGGTGAAAAAGAGGGAGTAGGAGTCAGACACAGGAGTGCATTGTCATCTTTGGTCAGTCTGGTGACTGAGGAGATGAACACTGAAAGTGTGCTTACATCACTCACATTAGCTGGTAGTCCATTCCGAATGACTGAAAACCTATTTAAGAAGAAGTTGTACCGCATGTAAGTCTGACAGTGCTCAATAGCAACAAAGGTGTCATGATTTCTAAGACTAACTGATGGCATGCAGCATTGTCGTACAACCGTTGGATGAGGTGCATAATTGTTGGCGGCGCCCGGTAGCAGCGAAGCAGTTTCCGTCAGCGCTGTCCAAGACCTTTCCAAAGTCGATGAAGTTGAAGTGGAGATCTGACTGCCATTCCGGACACTGTTCAATGATGATACGTGGTGTTGTGATTTGATTGATGCGTGACTTGTTTCTCCTGAATCTAGCTTGTTCCGGTCGAAGTTTTTCATCCAAGGCTTGTTTGATTCTCCTCAGGATGATGCGGGTTAGTATTTTGCTTGGGATGGACAGAAGCATAATTCCGCGCCAGTTTTTGCATTAACTTAAGTCTCCTTTCTTTGGTAGTTTGAATCAGTATCCTTTCTTCCAATCCTCAGGTACTTTGCCCTCCTTCCACACCTTCTCTAGCAATGGCGTCATCAAGTCCGCTGATGTCTCTGGGTCCATTTTCAATGCTTCGTCTGGGATTCCGACTGGACGTACTTCTTTTCCAGTTTTTAGCACACTAATTGTCTTCAGGATCTCTGTTTTCGTTGGAGAGTTGATGTCCACTGGTAGTTCTGCTAGCCTAGACGAACTTCCATATTTCACGTTTGAATTGTAAGAGGTGACTATAGCACTGACTCCTTTCCTTCCGAACTATCATGAGGTCAAGATGTTGTAGAGGACATATAAGGAAGGCTTAGTTACTAGAAGTGAGCTGTGTCCTAATGCAATACTTGTTCCTCCACCCAATAATTAACTCGTGTGGGCGGCTATAGGAAGACGTGATATTCTTGTCCCCAAACAACTAGTTAGAGGAGCTAATAGACAAAGGAATTGATAACAGATAGAGGTTTTTGAACTATACTAGCATTCTTTCCAAGAAATTATATGGCATATCCTTTTTTTGAATTCCCATCACCTCGATCCCGTAGGCAATATGGCATCTCAATAAATGGGCCGAAATAAACCAGCATGATCTCATGAAATTCCAATAATGTAGCTTCAACCTTTAAACTCGGTGCTTCCTTTGATACATTTTATTGATCAGATGTCAGTATCAAGCAAAATTTTCTGACAAAAGTGAAGCAAATTTAACGCAGCCCAAGAATTTAATGTCACTGATAATTTTAACACCTGGAAATATATTTTGATACAAAATTTCTTTTAGAGACATGCGAAAATTATATCTTGTCATTAAACCACCACAGCAACGAAAACAACCATCACCAGTCAAATCCTTCCAAACCAACACTTGAATCTGCGAATTTGTTTAATCGCACTGCCTACTACGTCTCGGGTGTTTGCCGCGGTCCAGGTTTGTTATGTTTGTTAATTTTGTGTTGATCGACATGTATGTTGACATCCTGGGTTATGGACACTACAAGTGGAACTTCACACCAAAGGACCGACCGATCTTTCAAACCCTGCAGCGCGGCGAAGGTCATGAGTCGTTCGTTTGTAGAATTTTGAAAGTTCAGAATAATGTTAAATCTGATTCACTTATGCTGCTTTGGCCGTAATCAAGAATAACTGGTTATATAAGTCAAAATGCCATGATGTAGCTTCTGCTAACCTGCCAATACTCACTTTATGAAGAACGGGTGAATCAGGAGCGGTAAGCTTTGACATAAATATGGGAACAAATGTGAAGTCAGTAAAAATGCTAAGCACATGAAGAGGTTTGGGAAGTAACACACTTATGCTACTTACTCTTTGTTATTATTCAAATCAGTATAATGCTGTACATGTGCAACGTTTCACTGTTGTAATTCAAGTACGTGTTAGGGTGTTTTGGTGGCACACACTTTCTGTGCCACCATTGCTTCTAGTTCAGTGGATTCATAGACGTATAAGGAGTTATTCTTTTCTTCCATTCTGTATTATTTCATTAAACAATGAGGACAATCTACCGTTGACGTTCACTATCGGTTAGGAGTAAGGTCTCCTCGAGTCAGTCTGACCTGTCACTGGTATTGTGCACTCTTTGTATAGCTGACATAATATTCTTGGTTTCTAAAAAGAAGTCTAATTACCGAAATATAGTTAATGCCAAAACAGTATATATATATATATATAGCTTTTCTGTGTTAAGGACACTCGAGTTGTCACTCCTAGTAATAATAATACTTTACACACATAAAACAATTAGCAAGACATAATATATTATATGAGCACTATTATGTGGATAAAACGCTCTGAATTTCATGGATTTAGTTTCATTCACTTATTTCCCCTGGGTTTCTTCGTTAGGTTCAGTGTCTGTCTATCCATAAATAAGTGAGACTTTCATTTTTTTAAAATTAACGCTTAATTAGAGTGTAATTTAATGTAATATGACTTCAAAAAAGTGAAAATTGTTTCTTTTAAAAAATAGAAACATTAAAAATGTTGTAGAAAAAAATGTATTTCTATGAGGATCAAGTGGACTTATGCATTTAGTCCGCCAATTATTCGTTCCATAGTCTTGCTAAAAATTTCCCACAAGTTAAGAGTTCAACTATTTAAACCTCTTGCCAGTCTTAATAATTTTCACGCTAGTACCCATGCTGCCAATTACCGTTTGTCGAAGCCTTTCTGTCATTATGTAAGGAGGATCGTTGTCTAGATAGACTGGTTTTGGTCTGTCAATGCTAACACTGTCTGTTATATTACCCTGTTGGGTAACAGTGTTTTGGGTGCCTTCCTGTGATTTCAAAAGGCCCTTCGTATGGTGGACTAAGGGGTAGTTTTGCTTTGTCATATCTAACCCATACATGGGTACAGGAATGCAATTCCTTTTGTATGTATAACGCTCTAGATTGTTCTGGTGAGGAAATCTGCTTTCAGTTGGCCATTTGTAGTCGAACTCTGCCAACGTGTGTAGCCTGATCGTAGTAGTTCTTATCAGAACTTGGACTAATAAACTCGCCAGGTAGTGTCAGTGTGGTTCCGAATACCATTTTTGCAGCAGAATATCGAGCATCAGTTTTTATTGATGTTCAGATACCAACCATTACCATTGGTAAGAATTCTTTCTAGTGATTGATGCTAGAGTGAGATGTCGACGCAATGCTCACTTGTCGATAAAGGCGTTTTATCATCCCATTAGCTTGAGGGTATATGCTGTGCAATGGATTCCGCGAGAACCGAGGAAATTCGACAAGTCGTTGAAAAGCTCTGTCTCGAATTGAGCTCCTCAAAACATGGCTACACAGTGTTAAAGAAAGGTTTTAGCTACCGCTTTCACCGTAATATCAGTAAGTGATGCAGCTATCGGGAAGCTGGTGAACTTATCAGTGCATATAAATGAGTGAATCCATTTCAGTGTGGCAAGGGACCTACCAAGTCAGCGTGAACATGGGCGAAATAAGTGTCTGGCTGCAAGAATGTTCCTAAGAGTGACATTGTGTGTTTGTTTAATTTCGCCCTCTGGCATGCCCGGCACTCTGCCACTTCTGAGCGTCGCGTTGTAGGTTTGCCCAAATATATCTTGCCGAGATTATCTTAGCTTGAGCCTTTACTCCAGGGTGTGATAATTTGTGAAAATGACTAAATATGGCATTCGTCACAATCTGATGGATGAAGGGCCTGGTTGAATCTGTTGTTGTGTCGCAGTACATAGAGATGCCATCGACAGATGTTAATCGTCCAATTTTCAGACGAGTTATTTGTAGTGAGGATATGCCTTAACTCTTCGTCTTTCTTTTGGCTTTCCGTCAACACTCTGAAGTCTACAGTGGTATGTTGCAATGTATTCACATGCATTGTGGACAGTGCATCAACCACACAGTCCATCTCCCCCTCATGTTTCATATCACTGGAAATCTGCGATAAACATCAAGCTGACCATTTCCGCTTGGTGAATATTTGTCATTTTCCTCCTTGACCGCGTAATTGAGAGGCATGTGATTTGTGTAGACAGCGAATGCTCCGGCCTCTACCAGGTGGTGGAAGTGTTTAACTGCTATGTAGATTGCTAGCAACTCCCTGACAAAGGTGGAGTATCTCTTTTCTTCAGTGTAAGCCGTTTAGGAAGAAACTGCTGTCAGCTCCAAGCTATTTTCAACTAGCTGATTTAGACCGGCTCCTGAAGCCTTATCAGATGCGTCTACTATTAATGCAAAAGGAGCATTTGGATTAGGATATTTCAGGGTTGAGGCTTTCACCAAAGCTTCGTTCAGATGTGTGGTTGCGTTGGATGGCCCCTTTGGCATCTGAGAGTCTCTTGGTTCCCCCTTGATGCATCAGTCAGGGGCTGCGTGTATTGTATGCAATTAGGTATAAAGCATTAACAGAAGTTGACCAACCCCAGAAAACGAGTTGCGCGAGGGAAGTGGGTAGGGAGTACTGTTTGATGGTACCCGCCTCTTTTGGCATTGTTGCGATCTGGTGCTGTCAGTAACATGTCCTAAGAACTCTATTGTTCCTGCCCTAAATTGGCAGTTGACGCCACAAGTCATCTCTAAATCTTTGAAAAGTCTTTACAGCGTACTAAAAGACCGAATGGCATTCGCACAAACTCATACCATTCAAATGGGTTGGTAATGGCCGTTTTAGGTATGCCTTTCTTAGCCACCCGAATATTGTGATTGGCGAAAAATGAATCAGTTTTAGTGAATATTGTGGTGCCTCACAGACTATTATTATTATTATTATTTTTTGATTACAGCTTGATTCCACACCGTATTTTTGGTACAAATATGGAATTTTCAGCATGGATATCGGTAGCCCAAATTTCGCAGGCCGACCATAGATATCAGGTGTGCGTCGGCAGGGGATCGAACCTAGGACCATGTGCATGGTCGGCGAGAGTCCTAACCACTGTGCCACCGACTCAAAGTCTTGAATGTGTGGTGCCGGGTATCTCTGTCTGGCATTGTTTTCTTATTTAGAACCAATCAGTCTGATTTTCTTCGGCACCATGTGTCACACCGAAGCCAAATGACTATTCTATGGCCGAATAATGCTCAAATGGGGCGTGTAATCAAATTCAGCTTTCACTGTTTTTAGCTTGTTAGAGACTAGTCCTCTTGGCTTGGCGAACTATGGGGGGGGCATGTGTCCTTACGTATGAGTAATTCTCGGGCCAACATTAAAACTTTGAGGGATGCTTGACTTTAGAGTCGGGAATTCCGCTAGTATTTTCTGGAACCTTTCGGTTAGTACCGGCAGTAATTGGACTAGATTCAACGAATGGTGCTCGCTCTCTTTGTCATTCGTATACCAGGCTTCTTTCATTGTTAAACATCTCTTTCGAGTAGCCACTAATAAGCCATATCTTTCTAGCAAGTTTACGCCGAGAATTGCTAAATCCAAGTCACCAATAGTGAAAACCCATGAAAACTCGGGGTGAAGGATCAGTGTCTTCTACCCGAGCGTCGCGATATGGATTTTATTGGCCTCCTGTGGCGTGGCGAGGGAATTTCATCGTCCCGACTCGGCCTTTGCTTTTGGTGTGATACTGAGTGTTGCTGCTGTATTAACCAAGAAGTCTACCAGATTTCTTATCCTTGACTTGGAATAGGTAACTGTCCCGGCACCCCTTCTCAGTAGTCTCTACCTGAGAAGGGGTTAATCATTTCCCTGTTGTTTGAGGCGTTGTTTAGGCCAGGCACATGGTTGTGCACATTTTGTTGACTGTACGCCGAACTGTCAGTGAAACCAACAAAATTGGCTTGTTGATCTAGTTTGTCTGTGTTTACTCTTTGACCTAGAACGTGTTGTATAGGTCTATCTACCTTGTCTGCCCAGCGTTAGCTATATTTATACTAGCTGTTCTCTTAGTGATCTAACTTTGGCTATCAGTTCTGAGATTATTTAGTCTTTGCTCATGTGCATATGGTTCATGTGCCTTCCGATAAATTGTCTCCTCTGCAACATCCGGTCAGCAATGCGTGCTTACTGTTCTAGAGACGAGTCAGGATCCTATGCGTTCATTTCCTGTTGCACATATTCCAGGCGGGCTGGCATCCAACCTTGCTTCATTACAGCCTCTCCACCGTCCTGTTCCCTACAAGCTGGTGCAAGGAATGTAATGGGGACCTATCTTTCATATTCTCCCCTTCAAGTAACCGTTATATACGCTGGTTTTCTGATATAAAGAGGCGTTTTATCATCTCGCGATTAGTTACTGTGTTTGGTCTCACTTTTTGCGGAAGGCTGAAGTGAAGTATAGGGTCTCGCACCTCTTTGCTAATCTCATAGCGTAACCGAGAATACATGTCCATATACCAGGTGGTTTTAGTGCTATACCGACTAGACTAGTGTTCAAATTGAGCGAACCATATTTCCGGGTTATTTGAGTCAAATTCAAGTAATCGAGCAGTCGGAGTAACTAAGGAATCTGCACAGCCTCTACATCATGGTATGCTGTGGCCACTCAGATGTAGCAAGTTATTGAGGAATTCAGGAGAATAGGATGAGTAATCAATTGTGAACTATTTCCTCTTTATGATTTGTAAGACTTTATCTATTGAATTATGAATGCCCTTCCGTTTGTTCGACTAAATTTTCCATGCTTCACCGGCCCACTGTCATGCTTTCGACAATAAGGGTTTGAAAACATCATTAGTCTTCTACAATATTACTAGCTGCCGGTTGGTAATTTGGGTAATTATTCTGATAGAAAAGTTGGTTTCTAAAAGTTCACCTCCATAGAAGCAGTTTTTAAAGTCAGTTCTCATGTTTGATAAATGAAACATTATAATGAATAAAATATTTGAACTATATAGTACATACGAGTGAAAAAAAATCCGAGAAACAACAATAAAAACGGAGATATGTAGAGTCTAGTGAACAAAAGGCAAAATTTGAACTAAATGGGCTCAACAATCTGGAAACGGACTTTTCTATTAGGACAATTATCCAAATAACCGACCGATGGATCGGTCTGATGTTCTCTACCTGAAAGAATTTGTAGCTCACATGAAGTCACCCCTTGACTGGGAAAATGAAATAGTAGCTCCTTTCCATGACAGAAGGTCTAAGCACTCCTTTTCACATTGCAGGCTGATTAGTCTCACTGTCACTGATTGAGATACTGAGAAGAGTGATGAAGAAAGCTATCATGTTCTGCTCACGTAGACCGAGGGATTCCCTGCAGGCGCGAGAAATGGTTATGATCAACTCGAAACTAGTCCTAAGTAAGGGTACTTGATGGTGTACCACAAGTTGTTGTACTCGACCTCTTCTTATTTATTGTAAATACCAGTGGGATCCCCAGGGTCATCTAATCTCCCATAGTCCTATACTCAGATGACTGAAACATTTTTAGGGGGAGCCCGAAGGTGACAGGAATTTGCTTACGTTGCAAACAGATGTCAACAATTTGTTAGGCTCATCCGAAGAATGGATGTTCCCCATCAACTCGGTGAAGTGTGGAACCATGCACATTGAGTACATGCTACTTCCTACGATATGGAAGGAATACCACTCTCTTCTGTCCAGACACACAGGGATCTAGATGTCATTGTATGTCGTGACCTAGGAATTACGACTTACTGTCTTGCGATGGCAGCTCGTATCGTTATATCTTTATGGGCAATACGCACAGTCTTTACTAGTCACTGGTGAAATGTTCACCACGTTATATAAATTTCTGGTGAGGTGGAAACTAGAAACTTGCATCCAGTCAGCCAGCCCTTGTCTCAAAGGAGACTCATAGATTTTAGAAAGAGTTCAAAGGATTCGTTTACCTTACGGGGAGTAACTCAGCAAATTAAGTCTCTTTTCCTCATTATGCTGTAGGTAGGGAGGTGATCTAACTTCGATGATCAAAGTTCTAAGATGTAACTATTTCCTATTTTCTTTTCCACCAGGTAGGATCATCTCATATTACACTTCAGTAGAATTCAAAAGTCAAGTAGGACCTATGTTTCTGTGCATCACTGGTTCTCCCACCGAGTCAATAACTCTTAGAACCGGATCTCAGAAGAATCTTTAAATGAGGCACCGGTCAACTCATTCACGAAGGGCTTAGAAAAGCACAGGTACTTGTTAGGCAAAAGAATGAGAAATTTACTTATTAGAAAAAGACTAATATGGACTTGAAGCATTCTTTCCTCAACCAAAGTAAATCTGAATGAAGACCGTACTTACTAGCGACTTAGTAGAGGTCCTTTCTCACAGTATGCTCTTTGTTATGCGGTAACATAAGTACTTAGACAAGTAAAGTGATATCCTAGTTACTAATATGAGAGTGATGCGTATAGCTTTTAGGGTTAGTGTACCACAAATACTATCGGGAATCAATCAAAAATGAGTTACGGTATGGCAGACATATAAATCTGTTGTTATATATGTTTCATCTGACATTATTCAAGCATGTCTTGTTATTGTGTGTATACTAGTATGAAAATTACAATAGTCTGCGTTGTTGGCCTTTCAATACCCCTCATATTCACTCCAACTGGACCAATTTTATTTATGCTTACCAAATATCTGTCACTGCATGATTGAACATCGGTTTTTGCTTGTTCTATGTGTAACAGCATAAAAGCCTGTATAGGTAGAGCACCAAATGACGTTAGGCGTAGAGTGTTGGGCAAAGAGGGAAAATCAATCGACGAGGCTATAAAGTTACATAGACTAAGATGGCTAGGTCACGTGCTGCGCATGCCTAACCACCGCCTCCCCCGACGGGCATTACTAGCTGATATAGGTGCAGGTTGGAAAAGAGCCAGTGGTGGCCAAACAAAAACATGGCACCAATCAATGAAATCCTTGACAGTTAAACTGAGTTGGTCAGGTAGGGAGATGCAGACTCCCGGGTTGGGGCCCTCGGGACTCTAGGAATCAAAGGCTGGAGACAATAGGTGACATGGCTGAAAATCGTTGTCCATGGCGCAGATGTATTCGGTCTCTGTAATCTTTCATATTCCTTTCTACCATTACCCGTTCTGTTTCACTCTCATACTTGTCAAACTCTATTGATTCTCTTCACTCATCTTCTTGTCTACCTTTGTGTGTGTGGTATTTGGAACTTGGCAACTCAAAGTGGTGCACTTCGGTGCCAAGTTCTATGTTGAATCCAGACAGACAGACTAAATGATATATCTCTTTTTTTTCCTTCACGAAAATATCGGGGAGTTGATTCTCTGAAGTAAAAGGAATAACTGCCTTCAAGGTTTGATATTAACGAAAACAAAAACACCGTTTGTAAGGTTTTAGCCTGTGCATTCTAATTTTTGAAATTGTACTGAATACATGTACCTTCAAAGCTCGTGTTCTACTTTCCTTCCTTGTGTGACTATCGGCCATTGAATATATATATATATATATATATATATATATATATATATATATATATATGCTTTGCGTGGTTACTCATGCTTGCCTTAGACTCGCGTACTCCGAAGTTCCAATTCACTAGTAATACATTTTTTAAAGTTTTTCACTTGTGCTTTTGTATCCAACGTTCGAATTTGGACGTACACAGTGTTTAACACATTGTAGAACGTGAAGACTTGAATGTATTTTAGCAATGTAATCACAATCATATATAGTACACAATAACTACAAGATATATTCACTTCATTTGTGTGAATTCGGTGGGGCGAAATGTAAAATAGAGACAATTATCTGCTTAATCCTCGTTAGGTTTCATGAATTAGTATAGTGTTATGAAAGCTTAACACACAGATAAGCACGAATGGAGAACTACAGTAATCGATGCAAATATATTTACTGTTTATTTCTGTTTTTACATGAATTAATTAGATTTGTTGAAGTACTACAGGTAAGTCGTCCTAATTATCTGAATGTTATCATACAAACTGCAACAAAAGTCAGTTATTTAACCGCTTATGTAACGGGTTAACAAGCAACTACTCTCTCACCCAAACTACATCTTCAGCACATAGGGTTGGTACTGACTGAATAACCGATGAATCAACCCTAAACTGTTCATGGGTGCGCATGGATCTAGTAATAGGAGCCTTTATTTCATTCGTCTAATAACTTCATGCTAATTGCATAGTGTTCGGAGGCGTAAATCACTACATGTCGGGGTTGGCATTCACAAGTTGAATCATAGATAAGTCAGTGTGTTCTTGTAGCGTTATCTTCATTGTTCTTCCTAGTTTAGACGGTTAGAATAGCAATACGACCTAAGGTTTCTAACTTGTAAAGAAAGAGTCTATTGATGGGATTGTAAAATCTCATCAATCCCGATTTCTAGGATACGTTACGCTTACCGAGCTATCGCCTTCCTCGACGAACAAAGTTAGCTGAATAAGGACTTGGTTCTAAAGGCGTTACGGGTGGTCAGACAAAAACGTGTTGCCCAGTCCATGAAGTCTTTGACTGTTGGTTTGAGCGGTGCAGGGAGGTCTAGACGGCTAAACTGATATCTTCAGGATGTTGAAAATCAGTCGCTGTAAACTGTTATTATCACTGGTGAAAACCGTTCTCATTAGCACAGACGGATTTACTTCTTGTTATCTTTTAGTAGTCGTTGGGCCGTATATCACATTGAAACATGTTATGGATGTTGTTTCAGTTTGGCTGTAGCGCTTCGATTCTGTTCATATATTACTATTTCGTTAGATCCCTTTTATTGTATAACTTAAATATGCTGTTTTTATTACAGACATTTCAAGTTTGATATTGAGAAACATGACTGATTCGTGCACTGTTGTCATCGATGGTATAACAAATGTCGATACTTTAAAGCCAGATTTACTAAGAGCGTGGTTAGCTCCACATGGAGCTATTAAATGTAAGTTTTAAATTAAAGGCATCTGAACTTCAAGGAGATATTTTTCAGATTGTTTTGGGTTGAATAAATTTTTTGAAGTTAGCTTGTAGGGATTGATGTCGTTTAAAGAACCATTTAAAACCAGACAGTACTGGAAAGCTGTTTCACCTTAATATGCAACTCACCGGCGGTACTCACCCGCCACCAGGGTTCGAACCCAAGACCTTCCGGTTACAAGGCAAGTTCGTAGACCACTCAACCACTGGGCCCCCGACCCTTGAAAATTATTCTGGCTTCAGGAGAGCTCTAGTGAGAAGTTTTGACCAGTAGGGTCCATTCAGTCAAGTGTGAGGATGGATTTCTCTCCGATGATATTGGCTGGTGGTCGCGCTAAAAACTAAGAATGTTCAATTCTCTTTCAGCAACGAAATATACCGCTAAAAGGATGGTATAACCATGGGCTCACCACTGGGCCCATTGCTTGCAGATTTCTTCATGGCAAAACTCGAAAACACATGCCTGAAGAAAATGATCGATACCTTCGAAATCCATAAGAGATACGTCGACAACACTTTCATTATCGTCAACAATGAAGAAAATCTAGACGACATCTTGAAGTCGCTTAACAACTGCCACCCCGCGATTCAGTTCACGCTGGGGAAAAAGTCCAACTCCAAAATATCCTTTCTTGATGTTCGACTAACAAGACGAGAACAGGATGGAACACTGAAGAGATCTATCCACAGAAAGTCGGCGTGGAACGGACAGTTTACTAACTTTCACAGTTGAGTACCCCTGTACACCAAACGAAACCTGATCCGTTCACTCAACTACAGAGTTCGCACCCCGAACACCATAGAAGATGAACTGGACAATCTCAAGAGAATCCTCATCGAGAATTGTTATCCAGAAAGATTTATTGCAAAATCTATGAATCCTAGACCACAAAAGCCGCCCATGCTTAGCGTCCCGAAAAAACTACTCCGCATGAACTTTCAATTCAATGGAGATATATCTGAGGAAACACTACAAAATCGACTAACGCGCTCATTTAAGAAGACCTTCTTCGCAGCTGAACGATGACTAACCTTCTGCACAAAACCTGTGATTCATGTGAACGTAAAGGATAAACTACCACTACTGGCCTCATCAATGTGTATTTATCAATTCACCTGCTCGTGTGGAGCCAGGTATGCCGACCGTACCCATCGTTCGCTTTCCAAACGTATCACCGAACACTTACCAACATGGTTTTACAAAGGAGAAAAACGATGCCCCCGCAGCTCCATCTTAGAGCATGTGATAGAATCCGGACATCAAGGTACACCGCAAACAAACTTCAAAGTCGTCTGTACAGTAAGAAGTAGTCTTCCTAAAAGTGTACGAATCAGACTTCTCCAAACTACAGAAGCAATGGCGATTCACTTGCTAAGTCCTGAACTCTCTGCATACAAAAGAAGCTCGTTCAATTACTACACTTACAATGGACTTAATCTATCTTATTACCTGACAAGTAAATTCTACCTAATCTTTTTTTGTCTGTCTTTTCATTAGTATTATCTTGTCTTCTCAATTGTAATATTTTACATTTTCAACTTTCTTGTTCTCTACTCCCACCCGATTTAATTTCTACACCTCCCTGCCACACTGTTACTGACTCGACCAACGCTCAATTTCTAGTCACTTATGTTACGTCATCCAACTTATTTGCTCAATTTCAGTTCTAATTTAAATGGCATTATTCTCTACCCCACTCCTACTTCTAGGCAACTCTTTAGACTCATCAGGGAAACGGGTGGGAGAAGGCAAATCATAAGTGAAACAATCTCGGAGGAAAATGACACCATAATTAGCTCCCAAGATAGACGACTGGAACGCTGGAAAGAGCACTATGAGGAGCAGTTTAATTGGCCCACAGCCACGCTTAACCTGCCGAACATCCAACACCTCCCTGAATGGGATATAGACACAGGTCCTCCGTCCCTAACTGAGGTTACTAAAGCTGTCACCAATCTGAAACAAGGCAAAGCAGCGGGACCTGATGGAATGACTCCAGAGGTATTTAGGTACGGTGGAGACAGTTTACTGTCTGAATTAACTGAGGTTCTAAGCAGCGTCTGGGAATCAGAGGAAGTCTCACTGATTATCTGTCTGTCTGTTTTCGACATAGAACTTTGCACAAATGTGCGGAAGTTCAAGTCGCCACATTCCGTGTAGCACGCGAAGCAAGAGAAGAAAGTACAAGAAAAGCATAATAGAAACAGTGAGCAGAGGTGTGAGACAAAGGAGTAATAAAGAAATACAAAACAGTTTCATTGAAGATCATAAGTCACAGGGAGTGGATGCATCTGCGCCACTGAGAACGATTTTGAGCCATGTCACCAATTGTTTCCAACCATAGATTTTTGCCGTCCCGAGGACCCCAGCCTGGAAGTCTACACCTTCCTACGTGGCTTAGACCAACTGTTGTGGATTTCATTGACTGATGCCAAGTTTTTGTTTGACCGCCGCTAGCTTTTTTCCAGCCTGACCCTATATCCGCTAACATAGCTCGTCGAGGGAGGCGATGACTTGGCATACGTAACACATGTCCTAACCATCTCAGTCGATGTAGCTTCACGACTTCGTCGATTGATTTCCCCTGTTTACCTAGAACTCTACGCCTAACCTCCATGTTGCTCACCTTATTATGCCACTTTACACGGGAAATAGAACGCAGGCACCTATGATCAAAGACAGCTAGTCTTTTCATGTCTTCCACTCTCAGTGGCCAGGTCTCACAACCATAAAGGAGGACGGAGCGGACTGATGAGCAGTACACCCGCCCTTTGGTCGATAGTCGAACATCTCGTCTACGCCAGAGTCGGCGTAAACTAACAAATGCGAAACGAGCCCCTTGTATTCGTGCTGAGATTTCGTCAGAGATCAGCCCGTTGGGGCTGATGGTACTTCCCAAATAAGTGAAGCGGTCAACGTGCTCTACCACTTCACTTCCTATTTTTAAACTAGGCGTCGATGTAGTCCAGTCCTGTAACATCATCTTGCATTTGGCGGGAGCGAATCGCATGCCAAACATTCGTAGATTGCTGCTCAAGGTGTTTAGAAGACTCTGCATTTTGTCAGCGTCTTCGCCTAGAAGGACTATATCGTCTGCATATTCCAAGTCAACGAGATTATTCCCAGGTAGCAAGTCAATCCCTGAATCGCTGAAGTCACCTAGGGTTAAGTCCATTAACACATCTATGATGAAGTTGAATAGAAAAGGAGATAATGGGCATCCTTGACGGACACCACTGGTCGTCATCAGTTCAGATGACAGCTCGCCGTAAGCCCTCACCTGGCTGTATGAGTACGAGTAGAGTGCCTTAATCAGTGCAATATATTTTCTTGGAATTCCCTTTACAGCCAAGCATCTCCAGAGAACTTCCCGATCGACAGAGTCGAATGCTGCCTTTAGGTCAAGAAATATAATGACTGTTGGACGCCGGTAGGAATGCCTATGTTCTAGAATCTGTCGGAGGGTGAAGATATGATCAATACACCCTCTTCCTGGTCTAAAGCCTGCCTGGCTCTCTCGTGTTTGTGCTTCCCGAGCACCACTCAGTCTACGCATGATTATTGAGCCTAAGACTTTAGATACTATATTAGTCAAGCTAATCCCTCTGTGATTATCACAGGAAGACTTGTCTCCCTTCTTGTATATGGGGATAATCAGTGACTTACACCAACCCGATGGGACTTCTTCTGATTCCCAAACGCTGCCTAGTACCTCAGTTAATCCGGACAGTAAGCTGTCTCCACCGTACTTAAATACCTCTGGCGTCATTCCATCAGGTCCCGCTGCTTTGCCTAGTTTCAGATTGGTGACAGCTTTAGTAACCTCAGTTAGTGACGGAGGACCTGTATCTATATCCCATTCAGGGAGGTGTTGGATGCTCGGAAGGTTGAGCGTGGCTGTGGGCAAATTAAACTGCTCCTCATAATGCTCTTTCCAACGATCCAGTCGTCTATCCTGGAGCTAATTATAGTGCCATTTTTTTCCGAGATTGTCTCACTAATGATTTGTCTTCTCCCACCCGTTTCCCTGATGAGTCCAAAGAGTTGCCTGGTGTTGCCTATCCTCAAAGCTTTCTCCATCTCTTTGGCTTTTGTCTCACTGATTATCCCCATATACAAGAAGGGAGACAAGTCTTCCTGTGATAATCACAGAGGGATTAGCTTGACTAATATAGTATCTAAAGTCCTAGGCTCAATAACCATGCGTAGACTAAGTGGTGCTCGGGAGGCACAGACACGAGAGAGCCAGACAGGCTTTAGACCAGGAAGAGGGTGTATTGATCATATCTTCACCCTCCGACAGATTCTAGAACATATGCATTCCTACCAGCGCCCAACAATCATTATATTCCTTGACCTAAAGGCGGAATTCGATTCTGTCGACCGAGAGGTTCTCTGGAGATACTTGGCTGTAAGGGGAATGCCGAGAAAATACATTGCACTGATTAAGGCACTCTACTCGTACTCATACAGCCAGGTGAGGGCTTACGGCGAGTTGTCATCTGAACTGATGACGACTAGTAGTGTCCGTCAAGGATGCCCATTATCCCCTTTTCTATTCAACTTCATCATAGATGTGTTAATGGACTTAACCCTAAGTGACTTCAGCGACTCAGGGATTGACTTGCTACCAGGGAATAATCTCGTTGACTTAGAATGATATAGTCCTTCTAGGCGAGGACGCTGAAAAAATGCAGAGTCTTCTAAACACCTTGAGCTGCAATCTACGAATGTTTGGCATGCGATTCACTCCCGCCAAATGCAAGATGATGTTACAGGACTGGAATACACCGACTCCTAGATTAGAAATAGGGAGTGAAGTGGTAGAGCACGTTGACCGCTTCACTTATTTGGGAAGTACCATCAGCCCCAACGGGTTGACCTCTGACGAAATCTCAGTGCGGATACAGGGGGCCCGTTTCGCATTTGCCAGTTTACGCCGTCTCCGGTGTAGACGAGATGTTCGACTATCGACCAAAGGGCGGGTGTACTGCTCATCAGTCCGCTCCGTCCTCCTTTATGGCTGTGAGACCTGGCCACTGAGAGTGGAAGACATGAAAAGACTAGCTGTCTTTGATCATAGGTGCCTGCGTTTTATCTCCCGTGTGAAGTGGTATAATAAGGTGAGCAATATTGAGGTTAGGCTCCGGTCGAGTGCTAGGTAAGGAGGGGAAATCAATCGACGAGGTTGTGAAGTTACATAGACTGAGATGGTTAGGATATGTGTTACGTATGTCTAGTCATCGCCTTCCTCGACGAGCTATGTTAGCGGATATAGGGTCAGGCTGGAAAAAAGCTAGCGGAGGTCAAACACCAGTCAATGAAATCTACAACAGTTAGTCTGAGCCACGTAGGAAGGTGTAGACTTCCTGACCAGTTGGGGTCTTCGGGACGGTAAAAACCAATGGTTGGAAACAATTGGTGACATGGCTCAAAATCGTTCTCAATGGCTAGCGCAGATGCATCCACTCCTTGTGACTTATGATTTCCAATGAAACTGTTTCGTTCTTTGTTATTACTCTTCCTTTGTCTCACACCTCTGCTTACTGTCTCTATTATGCATTTCTTGTACTTTCTTCTCTTGCTTTGTGTGTTACAAGGTGGGAGTGTGGCGACTTGAACTTCCGCACATATGTGCAAAGTTCTATGTCGGAAACAGACAGACCCCACTTCTACTTAGTCTCTACCTGCAATTACCTCTGTTTATACCCTGACCTAAGTTGAAACATTTTAGTCAATTATATTACGTCATCCAACTTACTTACTCAGTCTTACTTTAGTTGCTGTCTGATTAACAAAAACATGGCATCAATCCATGAAATCCTTGACAGTTAAACTAAGTAAGGTTGGGAGATTGAGACCTCCGGGTTGGGGCCCTCGGGACTCTTGGAATCAATGGCTGGAGATGATAGGTGGCATGGCTCAAAATCGTTGTCAGTGGCGCAGATGTATGCAGTCTCTGTAATCTTTGATATTCCTTTCTACCATTACCCGTTCTGTTTCACTCTTATACTTGTCAAACTCTATTGGTTCTCTTCATTTATCTTCTTGTCTACCTTTGTGTGTGTGGTATTTGGAACGTGGCAACTCAAAGTGGTGCACTTCGGTGCCAATTTTTATGTTGAATCCAGACAGACAGACCTTGTTTCTATATTAGATCATTCTTGTATTACCTGATCAATTATCTAAACTTGACAAACCTCATGTACGCACACAAATAATTTTATATAAATGCGATTGTACAGCTATGTGAATGAATTCACTGAGAAGAGTCTCTTCGCTGAACATCTCTTTAACACACTGATTGTTTTATAGATAGTAGCTATTAATTTTAATTCATCATGTCACTGTTCCCTGTTCGAGCAATGTGACCTGAGGTGAGATTAATTTTGGTTAGCGTAAAATGAAAGCGTGGGATCAACCCAATAATATCTTAATTGTTAGTTTGGTTCGTGTAACAAGGCGTGTAGATTGTTTGGTTGAGGTCATTGTGACGTAGAAACCTGTTACTGACATGGTAAAATGCATTCAGTTTATGTGAATTCTTTGTTCCGTCATATTATCATGATTCTACATGTGGTTATTCTTTCCCCCTCACATTTCTGTTGATCATAGTTTCTTCACATTTACTGATATTTTTTGTCTTCATATATGGCTTTTATTAATCGTAACAACTTAAACTCATAGAAAATTCCTAGTGTAACATATAGAAAATCAGAACAAATGATTCAGCGAAGAGACTCTTTTCAACGAATTTATCATCAGGCTGTATAGTCATATAATATACGTATGCTTTTTTAGGAAGTTATACCCGGTGAGGGAATTGAATCATGGGTGTGAATGCATGAAAGGATAATAATAATAATAATAATATGAAATGCAACTAAAACTAAAATGTGTGTGATTATAATCGTATTTAAATGTCAAGTGGCAAAGCAAATTAATGTCATATATAGAATGATTCATAGGATGACTTTGAAGTCATCTACAAAGAGTAATTTACCTAAATACCTACGTATCCGACTCATCTGTATTGCTGAAGTTTTAGCTATCGAAACAGAAAAGCCAGATCTCTGTGTACAGGAAAAGTTTGTCCAACCCCTCGGACTTTCATGGTCTTAATCCCTCTATGCTAAAGCATGGTAATTCCCAATCATATTTTAGCTCTACCAATTTTTCATTTTGTCTATTCCATTTGTATACTCTTCCTTATTACGTCAATTGTTACTATTACTACTCTTACTTTGAACTGTCCTCGGTATTATTTCATTTGTTCCACTTGTCATTCTAAATCAATTCTTTTTTACAACGTTAAATTCAATGCTATTAAATTTCACACAATATTACGTAACGTTTTTATTTTATTCGATTTCTCTACTAATCTTATCAGGAAAAGTACCCATTTATTCATAAGTAAAAACAGTTTTTTTGTTCAGCGAAGAAATTTCTTTTCAACGACTTCATTTTCAAGCTGTACAGTCGTATTTGTATTACAGAAAAAGGTTATTAAGTGGTATTAAATAATTGCTCAGTCAATGTACGCATATATGTGATAAGAATAACGATAATTAAAATATTATAAGGGGTAGAGTTGAAGTGGATAAATTACAAAAATATTAAAGATTGTTTTATAAGTGAATTGATATCAAAAATGTCAAGTGTTGTCTAAAACTTTTAAAAATTAGGAGTACGATTACGATAAGAATAAAGATGTGAAGTGGAAAGAATTCAAGTGGTAAAACAAAATAAAAAGTACAAAGAAAATTACTATGACCAAGGTAAAGAAAGGGGTTTGACAAAACGTTTTTGAACACATAATTTAGGTTTCTGTTCATGTATAGCTAAAGCTTCGGCTATGCATAAGTGAAGAAAACGTAAACTTTTGGATCGATTCGATTTTGCCACGTAGATGACTTTGAAAGATGAATCACGTGGGGCTAAATGACCACTCTAACAGGTGATCACAAATAGACGACTTCGCAGTTCTACGACCGCCTTTCATTAACCAAACCGGATAGTGTTCAGCTACACGTTTTCGGAGATTACGCTTACTATGTCAATAAATTATGTACCATTCTGAGTGATGAAGAAAAATTTCAAAAATCACCTGATCAAAAAGACAAGACAGAATATTTAGAAGGAATCATCTAAAACTTTGACGAAATTGAAGCAAGAATGCATCACAACTCCATATATTTATGAACAGCTTAAACCATCTGGTTCAACTATCCCTCATTTATATGGTCTTCCAAAGGTGCACAAAGTTTGAATCATGCCTTGTTGCTATCCACGCTTTTGTTAAATTTTTCAAATGGTAATGATAATTAATTGCAAAATACTCATGTTTGTTATTTGATTCTCTTAGGTTTATCTATTTATGAAAAGTTAGTATTTGCAGAGTTAGAAAACGCTACAGTTGCCAAAAATGTCATTAAAAGCGAAAATGGTAGTATGTTTCGGAAAGATTATGTATCAGTACGTTATCCACTACCTTGGGATATGATGGTTACCGGTTATTTCGTGACCAAACGTGAGTGGACTTCACAAGTGAGCGAAGAAGAAATTAACAATGAAGCAAATAGTGAAGCTGAATCATCAAATGAAAAGGCTTCTTCAGAAGTTGAGTATGTATTTTTGTTGTTGTTGTTGTTATCATCAGATGCTTCATACACATTGTTTATTTCGAAGCAGTTGTCGAATTCATGGTATTCATATTGTAACGACAGAAGACAAGACCAGGCAACAGATCGTTTATCGAGAAAATCAACAGATATTTATAGATTTTTATACATACATTATTATTCGTTATTGTTAACAGAGAGGTGACGTCTTCCGATCGGTCTCTTTCCTGCTGAAGGTTATCTGTCATCTCTTTGTTGCCGTCTCTTAGACAATCCGTTGATGTCTCTGCTAATCGTATCCGCCCACGCTCTGTCTGCTGTGATTGTTTGTTGAGTTAGTCTTTGTTCTTGTTTTTTTCTCATGACCCAGATTTGGGACGTAAACATCGACGTAAATTGTTATCTACCAATTTTGCCTAGCAGGCAGCTGTCACCACAGTATTAGTTAGTGAGCGCTCAACTATCAGGAACATATTCTTCATTAATCAGGCTATCAGCCATACGGATAGTTTGAGGAGTCATAATACTTTTCAGCCACTGGGAATGAAGTAGGCGGAGTGAGAGATTTTCATTCGAAATCCCATAGGCTAGAAATCAGCCACTTCTCTATCTTTAAGTGTTCACCATGGATCTCCTATTGCTATATATTCGGGGGGCAGTCATAAGTAGCCTGTTGGTAAGGTTTTCGACGCTAGGAAGATGAGTTTCCTCAAGATTTCAGCTGTGGTGTACTTAACATTATTGAAGCCTTATATTTAATAGAAAAGATTGAAGAATCTATAAGGTAACAGCAAACTACCACTCATCAAATAATCCAACATATCCCACAATACAAAATTAAATATTCTACCCTTACAAAAATAAATAAGGAGGTAGGTGGCAATTTTAGATTTCCCGGTGTAATTTTGAGCTGTATTGGGTTTATAAAATGATAAGAACAAAGACGATTTTATCTGTATGAATTCTGTCTTAATAATGCTTCACGATATTTTGTTGTAATATTTCCCAATACTACATTAAATTAACAGGTTAGTTTTCTCCTATCTCGTTTTCGATATCCTCATACAGTATTTCCCTCTAGACGTTTATTTTTGTGTAAAAAGAGCTCACAAATATTTCCTAAGAAGCAGTTGTGAAGACTTCAAAAGGCAATGTCAGGTCATAAAAGTTAGTGCCTCGTAAGTATATTATTGGTAATCAAGGCAACTCTACTTCAACTTATGGAGTTATGTAAGAGGCTACCGATAGTTGTCATCTGAAGTGATTATAACCAAAAGTCTCTGTCAGAAATCCTCGATATCACCATTTTTGTTTGATTTCATCACAGATGCAGTGATAGATATGACCTTATTGAATTTTATCGACTTAGAAATTGACTTGTTACGGGGGGACAATCTCGTCAACTTAGAGTATGCGGATGAAAGTGTCCTCCTAGGTGAATACGTTAATAAAATGCAATCTTCAGATATCTGGCGTGGGATTCACTCCTGTCGAATGTCAAACTATGCTTCGTGACTGGTCTGCACTGTCTCCTAGTGTGAGTATAGAAGTCAAGTGGTTGAGTTCCCGAACGAATTGACCGCTAATGAAATCTCTTCATGGGTGCGAAAGTCTTGTATGGCATTTGCCAACTTACGTCATCTCTAGCGTAGACGGGATATCCTGATACCAATAAAAAAGAATTGAGTACTGCTCATTCTGTCCTTCTTTATGACTGCATGATATGGTCGCTGAAAGTGAAAGATATGAAGAGGCTAATTGTGTTTGCCGACAAACGCTTGCTCTCTATAATATGGTGACTAGTGTTGAAGTAAGGTGTTGAGTGTCTGGGAAGGAGAAGTCAATTGATGACGTTGTTGGGTTACATCGATTGAAATGTCTAGAATATGAGTTACGAATGTCCAGCCACCGCATTCCTTGTGGAGAGATATTAGATGACTTTGGATTAGGTTGAAAACAGCTAGGAGTGGAAGCGAACTGATGTGATAAGTTTTCATTTATTGACTGACTAGGCTTCAGTTCAGAAATTTCCACAATCCATGTGATAGGGAGAAATTCAAAGAAACCATAACAGGTAGGAATGTACGCGAGAAAGAATAATAATATGAATGAAACACCTGGACTTGGCGGAACTGCAGTATTACAAAGAGTCAATATATCTGCACCATTGGCAACGATTTCGATTCTATTATGGGTAAAATTTGTTTTGATAAAGTCTCACAGTGTTATGCAGTAATGTTTACTGATCATAATCCTCGAAATGTCATCAGTAAATATTACTGTATAACACTGTGAGATTTTATCAAAACAAATTTTACACATGATGGAATTACACTCTACCAAAGTGCACAAGTTTTATTCTTATATCAAGGAACGATTTTGAGTCATCTCATCAATAGTCACAAGCCTACCGTTCTTAGCCAGCTATGCGGACTACACTTCCATACGTAACTGAGAGTAACAGTCATGTTTCAATTTGACCACTCGTAACTATTTCCCACCCTCGTTCTATATCATTTAAAATCTCTCAACAAGGAAGACAGTGGCTGGTCATTCGTAACTCATATCTTAGACATTTCAATCGGTGTAACCCAACAACGTCATCAATTGACTTTCCCTCCCTCCCAAACACTCAACACCTTACACTTCAACATAATTCACCATATTATAGAGAGTAAGCGTTTGTCGTCAAACACAGTTAGCCTCTTCATACCTTTCACTTGCAACGGCCATATCGCACAGTCATAAAGAAAGACAGAATGAGCAGTACACAAGTCTTTTTAATGGTATCAAGATATCACGTCTACATCAGTGATGATGTAATGTGGCTTATATCAGGTTGTTTAAAAGTGATAGTTTACTAGAAGACATTGCTGTCAGATTTACTGATTAGTAGGCATTTTTATGATGTCTCCTTTCAATTTATTTTTAAGTCTGAAATTTAAATTCAACCTTACTGTACGTGTAGGTACGGGAAATAAATCCTATCTAAACCCCAACCCCCTCAGTGTTATATTTATATCGACCAACCAAGGTTGGGTGCCAAGTCAAATTTTTGCTTCCAACTACGTGGCTGCAGAAATTTGTCAGTTGACTATTTCATGTTGGCTTCCTACAAATCATTGTCTCCATGCTTCCATCTATCCTACTTGATATTTTTACATTAAAGAAACTTATTTTAGATCTGTATGTGCGTCGGTGGCATGGCGGTTAGGACGCTCGCCGACCATGCACATGGTCCGGGGTTCGATCCCCGGCCGGCGCACTCCTTTACCTCGCTAAGCCACTAGTGAAACTGGTGAAGAGGGAAGCTTTGGCATGAGGCTGGCAACCCCATCCTGTAAAAATAATCACCACTGCTACAGAAACTTCAAGCATCTAGCTTGGAGCCCTATGTTCCACTGGGAACGTGAAGGAAAATAAAAAAAATTTTAGATCTGTATTCCAATTCAAAGGTAAATTCTATCGCTGAATAGCAACTATTAAATACCTGCAACATATGACGCCACAGGTCAGATTTGTCACAACTAGTGAAAGAGCCGTTCATAAATATAACCTCCATACAATTGAATATCCTGGATTGTTGCATTCAGTCGACCACTTGCCAAATTGTCTATAAAACGATATCCTAATAATGCATCCAACATAGATCCTATTGTAGTATGTGTCATTGGCAAGAATTTCTTGGTGATGTCATCCACAAGAATCTTGAATAACAGAGTGATGGGTAAATTTGCAACGAAGGAAACTGAAGATAGTTGGAAAGCATTGTAGAAAGCCTGGAAATGCAGATCAAAAAAGAAACAGAATATGAATACATTTCATAAATGGATATTTCAATTGAAAGGTTTTTGTATTTTTCGCATCACCCTTGTACATCATCTTGCCAATGAAACAATTGTGCTACTAAATATCACAGGGTTTTGCTGTTACACTATGAGAGAGAGAGAGGGAGAGAAAAAAGAAAGAGTTATATTTTATATTTATCTTCTTACAGAAATGATTAAGAAGTTAAGTCACTTTTTGATAGTCGTATGCATTGTTTTATATGTCAGTCAGTAGTTTTGTTATGTCCATCTGTTGACGACTCGTTATACAACTTACCGCACTGATATTGTTTTTTGTTTGTCTTTTTCTTCCATTCATACGGATCACCATCAGTGCAAAAGAATTATTGGCACAAGTTAAGTATTTGGATATGGATGAGTTATGTAACCTGTACACTACATTACAAGATATATTTAATAAAGAAGAAAAAAGAAAGAAAAAAGCCAAATCTCGTAAGTCACTTCTTCTTAACTTATTGTGAGGCTTTTTATTATTGCTTTTGTTTAATATCAGTTATTTTTGATATCCTTTTTTTTAAATGATTCAAAAATCTCGTCGAATACCTTTCTTTATTTACACTTACTTTTGTTGTAGTAAATGCCTTTTCGTTTAGTCTTCTTCTCGAGATGTTTTCATGTGGTGGATTTCACGGTGGTCGCCTCTACTGGGTTAGTCCTGTTGACTACCTTCACGCAGTGGAGGTGTCCTTCACAAATATGAATATCTGGTGCTTGAAACTGGAGTGGTGTGTATATATGCATGGAGCTGGGAAACCGATTCTAAATCCATGGTGTTCATGGACTCCAGAATCCGAAATAATTGAATAGCGTATGAACCACCATGAGAACACTGCTCCACTGTTTTGTGGATCAAAATTCAAGTCAAAAACTTGACTTGACCTCTCAAGAAAATCACCTGCTTCGGTCTCCGCGTCTGGACAGTATCCCAGCCCTCGCACAGACTATGAGATTTTATGTGGCACATCTCTTGGTGCCTATAAACACACCCTGTTAAGGTTTTAATAAATAAAATATTAATCTTACAACATCGATAGGAGGTTTTAGACAGATCAACATCTTGTACATTCTAACAGAGGACGAAGAATATCAAGTAGCATACATTAGAATTATTTATTTTTAAATGGACATAATTATTTTCAATTTGTATAGAACACGTGTACTTCGGTATGCATGACCACTGATAGCAGCAAAACACACTTTTCAATGTTCTCATACTTCCACTCTTTGACATGTTTTGGAAATAAACATGCTTACAGGCGTCCGACACTTGCAGTATTTCTTGACCTGAAGGTGGAATTCCACTCCAATTGAGAGGTCAAGTCTTCCTGTGATAATCCCAGGGGAATTAGCTTGCCTAATATGGTATCCAAAGTTCTAGGTTAAATAATAAAGCGTAGAATAAGCACTGCACGAAAGGAACAAACACGAGAGAACCAGGCAGGCTTTAGACCAGGAAGGGGGTGTATTGATCATATTTTCACCCTTCGACAGATTCTGGAACAGAGGATTACTTGCTGTCCGCGTCCAACGATCGTTATATTTCTTGACCTAAAGAGTTGGCATTTGATTCCGTCGACCGAGATGTAGTCCGGTGATGTTTGGCTGTGAAGCGAATGCTGAGAAAATACATTCCACTGGTCAAGACACTACTGGAACTCATGCAGCCAGTTGAGGGCTTACGGCTATTCGTCATCTGAAGTAGTGACAAGTAGTGGTGTCCGTCAAGAATACCCACTATCGCCATCTCAATTCAATTTCATCATAGATGTACTAAAGGAGTTAACCGTAACTGCTGACTTCTGCGACTCAAGGATTGACTTATTAGCAGGCCGTAGATAATCTCCTTTACCTAGATAGACAGACAGACAGACGTTTACTTAGAATATGCAGATGATATAGTCCTTCTAGGTGAGAGCACTGACAAAATACAGCAGAGTCTTCTGAAAACCTTTAGCTGCACTCGGCGAATGTTTGACATGCGATTCGCTCCTTCTTTCAAATGTAAGATGATGAGGCTACCGTACTGGACGTCATCGATTACTAGCTTAGAACCAGGGAGTGAAGTTGTAGAGCGTGTTGACCACTTTACTTATATGGGAAATTGCATCAACCAGCCCCAAGCATTTGATCTCAGACGAAACCTCAGCACGGATACAGAGGGCTCCTTTGGCATATGCCGCCTGTGACGTATGCGTGATATCCGGTTGGCTATATATGTGAAACGGTGGGAGACGGAGACTTTGTGAAGGTATGTTGGTATCTCCATATAGCCAAATTATGTATACCTTATCTTCAATGCACCATCTGCACAGATCTTCGTGTTGTGGTACTTCTCAACTTCATGTTGTGTTTCTTTGTGTTCCTTTCACTTCTACAATGTACCTCCCTAATGCTGTATGGTTTGCATTCTCTGAAATAAAATGTGTCTCCCTGCTATTTGCTGTTTTTATACCGATAAACATTGTATATACTACTGATAAATCTTATCAGTAGCACTCGCCATGATAATGTTAAGTGCGAAACCTACGAATTACTATGTTATTAGTGAAATGATCGGCTCTTTTATTGTTTCCTATTTGAAAACTATGGAGACATTATTTCAATTAATTTATAATTTTAGATATTAACACTGTTATCATTATTTTACATTTTTTATACATTTTTGACTTTATTATCACTGTTAATGCCAAAACAGCTGCTATTATCAATCCTGTAATATTATCTTTTACTTTTGTTTTTTTGGTATTGTCGAGTGAATTAGGTGCAATATTGTAGTAAATGCTGAGAATTCCACACTGCATCATAAGTACTGTTTTGGAATAAAGCGTATTATTATGTATGGAATTGTGCATAGCTCTAGCTGATAAGTTTCTCTCTTATGCTGCTTATTTTAGGGATGATTCCAAGTGAACATTTGTGTGTGTGTGTGTGTGTGTGCGAGTGAGAAATATTTTGTGATCCCTCCATTATTCCGTTTAAAATAATATGTTTTCTCTTGTAGGTATAATAACATTAGGTTCTAGTGTGAAGTCGTGGCCATTAGGGTGCAACAGGTCGGGTGTGTGGACAAATACTCACCGAAGACATTGGCTAATGGTTGTGCTATGTCTTGGATTGACATAAACTGGGATTCATGCACCGACCATTGGGTAGGCTCCCAGTGGCCAAATGGTCTACGAGGTCGCCTTGTAGCCAGAAGGTCAAGGTTTCGAACCCCGGCGTTGAGTGCGTACTGATGAGAAGTCCCAAACTAAAACGAAACAGCTGTCCAGTACTCCCTGCAGGTCTTCCAATGGTTCTCTAACCGATGTCAGCTTATGATGAAATCCTGTAACCAAGCAATCAAATCCCTACAGACATATACTTGATGATAGTAATAATTGTTTCTCCCCTTTTATTATTTCCAGTTCCTTCAGGTCGTCCTTGGCTTGATGACGAGGCCAAAAGACTGTTTGCTATAAGAAATGAGGCATTGAAAAAGCTGGAGAAGGAGGATAACAAAGAAAATTTGGAGAGATTTTTTCTTTGTGAAACATTATATATTAAGGCGCGGAACAGATGTCAGAAGGCCTGGATGCATAAAATTAATCAAGAAATTGATTCCCTTAGAAAACTTCAAAAAGGTAATTGCACATTATAATATATTCCGCAATAAACACACTAGATCATAGTAAAAAAGAAACAGATGGAAATTCTCTTTCGTTTGATGAAGGACATTCGTGAAGATGTGCAACATGGAAGAGCAACTAGATTTTATTTTATTTTTTCGTTCTTTTTGCTAATTCCTTCGCATTTCGCTCTACCGGTGGTGAGCCAGGTTTAGGAGCGCTAATTAATCTTTTGAAAGGTATAATGTACAACATTTTTCTTTGAAATAAATTTCTCCATTCATTTTGAATTCAAGTTAAGTTAGTTTCTGTGTTTTACCAACTACTGAATTAAATAGTGGTAGAATGTTGTAACAGTGAGAATCTCAGTGATGAAATGCCAAGTCCAACTGTGATCCCTTAATGTTTGTATCAGTTCAACTGCTTCTGTAGAACGATTAAGATTGTTTTTCTATCTCTGAGGGGTTTTCTTGTTTGAGAAGAATTGCCATTTTGTTTAAAAAAAAGTTGTAATGAAAAGCATTAACAATTGGTACTCTTGGTCCAAGCAGACCATATAGTGTTATTTACCTCGTTTCACTGCTTCTTACTGCCTGAGAGTTACGAGGCCATTGATACGTTCCCGCCTTTCGTGGGTGTCTGAAGCTTAACTTCACTTTTGTAAACACACTGTGAGTCTGTGGTGTTATTATCATTTTTGTTAACTGTATTTGACAGTGATATTACTGCTAAGATTTTTGTTGTTGTTGCCGCTGTCTTTCTTGTTGTGATTATTCTTTCTCTGTTGTTCTGTTTGCTTTATTTCTAGTTTTCCTGATTCCAAAAGTAGCAACCCCCAATGTAACAGACACATTTGTGTAGCAACCCCCTTCCCAGGCGTTAGGCTAGCACCCCCACTCTGTAGACAAAGCTGCTACAGAAACTTTAGTACGAATGAGTTTGTTTGTGATACAAGAAAAGGGGCCAGTCAACACAGGAAGAAAACTCATTATAAGTAGAGAAGCACCTTGTAGAGATGAATGAAAACAGAGAACTCTTCATGGTCTTCCGTGCCTTCAATGAAGTAGTGATTGGTGGCAGCCTATACAAGTACAAGAGCATCCACAAGGCCACATGGGTGTCACCAGATAGGCGAACGGAAAACCGAATTGACTTCATCTCAATCCCAAGAAATTGGAGACGCAGCTTACTGGACAGAGAAGTAAGAAAAGGAGCAGACGTTGACTCAGACCACTTTCTCGTACTAGGAACACTCCAAATGAAATCAAAAACTTTCAAAGAAACAGGAGCTGCAAGCCAACTTAAATACTCAAAAACTGAAAGATCAGGCCACATAGGATATCTTAACCGGAATCATAAGGAAAAAGGCGGAGGCCCAAATCAGCACTAACGAAGAGACCAGTGTTGAAAAGCAATGGAACAGCCTGGAAGCGGTGTGAAGTCAAACGTGCATGGAAGTTCTAGACAGAAAGAAGAGACAAAACAAATAGTAGGCCACCACGGACACGTGGAGACTAATAGATAAGAGAAGGATGTTGAAACAAAAGATTATCTAGTGCATCAATAAGGAATAGAAACAGCAGTTGAATGCGAGCCACAGTACACTGTAAAAGTACCAGGGAAGACAAGGAAACCATGACAAGTGAAGCAGGACAAGCTGCAGGCAAAGGAGACCTCACCTCACTCTACCAAACAACTACGCACCTATCAGGCAAAAGTTCGACACAGATTAAGCCAGTAAAGGATGACAATGGAAAGTCAATCACCAAAGAGGTGAAGCAAAAAAACACTGGACTGAACACTTCAAAAGACTTCTAAATCGACCGCCACCTACAACGCGCCCAATAATGCCAACAACGGAAGCAGAACTACCAGTGAACATCGACCCTCCGACGAAATCAGAGGTCCTGAATGCAATCAAGATGCTAAAAGCCTGAAAAGCAGCAGGACCAGATGGAATCCCAGCAGAAGCATTGAAAATGGACCCAGAGACAACAGCGGACTTGATGAAACCACTACTGGAGGTGTGGAAAGAGGGCAAAGTACCCGAGGATTGGAAGAAAGGATACGTATTCAAACTACCAAAGAAAGGAGACTCAAGTCAATGTAAAAACTGGCGCAGAATTATGCTCCTGTCCATCCCAAGCCAATTACTAAGCCGCATCATCCTGGAGAGAATCAAACACGTCCAGTTTTATCAAATATGTGTCTTATAAATACACTTTTTAAAATAAATGCCACTTTTCACCCAAAAGAATGCAATTGGTTCAAGGTCATTCGACTTTGGTGTCTATTCCTTACTGTTGCCTGGACTGTATATTCTTGTGTCAATTAGTTGATTAAAACGATATGAAACACAGTTAACACGATGCATTTTGATAGATAAAAAATTTAGGTAGCCCAGTGATGCAAGCAGGCCGCCATTAGTTAGATAAATTGAAACAATCGAGAAGATATGTAACTCAGGCGAATAATATTTAATTAATTATATCTTCTGAGGTGATTGAGAACAAAACTAATTCAAGATAGATCAATTAACAATATTCAGTGGATGCAGAATACTAATGGAAATCTGGTTTGTTTTAGGTGAATGTCAGAAATCTAGGGTTTCAATTTTCTGCACATATTTCCCTAGTCAAATTGTGCACTAAATACGACGTTTTGGTAGGGAGTTTTGCCGCAAAGTATTGGAGATTAAAGGTGAAAACTTCGGATAAGTTTAGACTTGTGAGGTGAACCACTTTCCTATCCTCTTGAACCGTCTTACATTCATAATAGACAAAATTCGAACAAGAGCACAGCCATGAGGAAAGTCAATACACTATTTAAATTATTAGGCTGCTCCACAATCTCCAGCTGCACCCATCTGGTTGTGAATTTAGTTACGGATTAAATCGTACCCGAGAATATCCCAATATCGTTAGTGGCTTTCATTGGAAATAAATCTATTTTGCTGAAATGTATAACACAAGGCAACAAAAATCTATATGAAGGAATAGCTGTGTTGTTTTCATTTTACACGTAAATAATCTCGAAAAAAGTCGATGTACTTTTGTGGCATCCTGGTTAACAAAGTTAGCTATTTTGTGAGTAGTGATAAAATGAAACATCAAAAGATTAGTATGTTTAAAGACAGTGGCTCTAAAGAGCAGTGTATGTTTATCAGTTGACGTTAAGTTATTGAAGGGAAGAGTGAAGAAGCAACTGGCGAGATGTGATTCGTCTTAAAGACTCAGTGTTTATGCATAAAACAGAATAATGACATACAAAACTATTCACAATTCTATTCATTCAAGCGTCGAGCATCTGGAGTCAACTTCCTATTATATGCAACCGACGATATGTGGTTGACATCTTCACATGTATGAGTGAAAGGTGTAGTGGTAAAAGCGAACACCTATATGTGAAATAAATGTGTAGTAAGACGTTGAATACTTGCCACATAAAGCATGTTCTCTGTGCTCTATCTATATTATTAGAAATATCAGCTAAAAATCCTGACTAGTGTCGTGAAAGTGTTTCCACAATTAGAAACGGTGAAATTGAAATACATCAGCCACTTCGATGAACTTTTCTCCCCCATTGTACAACTAATCAGAATCAAGAAGCATAGTGAACGATGTGAATAAAGGTGACTACGAAGTAATGGTGAGGAGACGTATTTTAAGCAACACGATTTCCTAACAATTTTGAATAAATAGTTCTTCGAAATTATTAATATGAAACCTGTAAAATTATATACCGAAATGTGGTTATTAGTTTTAGTCAATGTGTGGTTTAACTGCGCAACACTTCGTTGGGACAATCGACCTGCGTCCTTGTTTTAGTTTTCACACTTTCCTCAAAACTTATTATCTGAGTATTTTATCAGTCACTTATTTTCAATGCTATTTATGTATGACAGTGAAAAAAGGGCTATTTAAAATACTGTATATCTTGACACTTTTATGAAGAAGTCAGAGAGAACACACTCATCACTTCAGTAACACTGTTTTTAATGATAGTCGACTACACGAGAAAACCACATTATGATTCTGCCCCCTCCCCAACTTCTGTCTGTGTATCTCCTTCAACGACAAGCAGGTCTATTCCTTTTTCCTTTCGAGGTAAGGGTGTTGGATGCAGTTTTCTTTTTATCATTATCAAGCGACAGTTGGTTAAAAGTGACTTAAAGGAAACAGATTTTCCATACGCTACGTAATTAGCCGAACGTAATATGTATTCTCTCGTTATTATGTGTATTATTAGTGTTCCCTTGGTTTCCGAGTGGAACATAGGGCTTCAGCAACACATCTTCACTTTGTCCTACTGACCCTACCATTGCCCATCGTTTTTCATCTCCTCATCGCACGATCTCCTCCATGTCATCCTCGGACACCCGACTCGTTCCACTAATGGGCCTGAATGATACCACCTAATTGCTCATACCTAGGTGTACATACAGTGGAATCCGAACCAATAATATTAATAAGTTATTATGTGGTAGACGTATTTGAGTGAGTGTTACCTACCTGCTTACAGTTACCTTCAAAGTATCAGCGTTATTACACACAGAACTTTTCTGGGCTCGCTATCAGCTAGGTGATGCTTAAGACTACACCGGTTGGGGATTGATATGTATCCACATGATGTGTGTGTTTTGTTGTTGACATTCTATTATATTTCGCCATGTGTATATGGATCGATATTTCATTATAACTGACAGTATGCTTTTGTCTGTCCACTAACTAAATAAACATGTATGACCTCGCTACCACATGACATTACAACCAATCATGGTAAGATATTATCTTATTGGTTGTAATGTCATGTAGTAGCAAGGTCATACATGTTTATTTAGTTAGTGGACAGACAAAAGCATATTGTCAGTTATAATGAAATATCGATCCATATACACACAGCAAAATATAATAGAATGTCAACAACAAAACACACACATCATGTGGATACATATCAGGGGTCAAACCTCGGACCACGCGAGTGGTTGGCGAGCATCCTACACAAATCCGCAACCATGTGTATGTATACCACTCCCACATTGAACGTAACTATTACCGTTTTTTACTGAATTGCACATTCAAAACAACCGAGAAGAATATATCTAATTATGTAAAT